ATGCAACTCCTTTGTTACTAAAATCAAATAAATCTAAAAGCCCCCTATTCTTATTAGTTCTCATTAAATATTTCGTACGATTACCTTGTTCTGGTAACATAAATCTATTCAAATATTCTGCACGACTAATCATTATATATCTAACACCAGCCATAGTAAATTCGAATATTCCATTATGACCAAATTTTTTATTTAAATTATGGGTCCATTCATCTATATCCATATTAGAGTTTTTAAGAATTTCAAGATTTCCTATCAGAGGAATTGGTATTGGACCGGGTAAAGGATTCGGACGAGTAAAATGTTTGTAATAAAAATGAATTATGTAAAAGCATATTGTTATTATTAAGATTTTAAAAATATCAATTTGTTTAATAATATTGTTTAAAATTATATATAAAAAATCCATGGTTATTAGATTAGAAATATTTGAAATTATTCTCTTTACAACGTATTTATGGTTTTTTATAGCAAAAAAATTTAAAATTAATCATAAAGTAATTTACTACGTTTTATTTATCAATTAATGAGAATTGCCTGTATTATTTAATGTTTTTGGAATTGTTTTTTGTTTAAATAATTTTGGTAAGAATTTTTAGTCTATATATATGTGTTGTAAAATGAAATCCAGTAATTGTATTTAATGATTTACTATAATCAGTCACGAGCTTTTGTTCTGCAACATTTATATATTTGATCCTTATTGTTAATTAAAACATTTACTAATTCTTTTGCTCATGGAACTAAAATTGTCGATTCTTAATTGACACATGTTATTTTCGTTTTTATCGATTATATATAACGAAAACTTAGATTGATTTTTAATGAAATTAATTATTCAGCATTAAGGTTCCGCGTGAGCCTCACATGGGCTGGTCTTGAATGTTATTATGGAATTTGTCTAGGATTGACAAATTCATTTAGATTTAACAGTGGGAATTGCACATAATTTATCTCTCTTTTCAAATTAGTGCGACCCCTGCGCGATCATCTGAAAATCGGCAAAATTCCCCAATTTTGGCGCTTTTTTTGCGAATAAATCTAAATTTCTTGCTAACAAATAAAATTCCCAAGATTCCTCTTCTATTTTCGCTTCTTCAATGCTTTAACAAGTAATATACAAGAGCTGGTTGTTTGTGCAGCTAAATAATACGGAAATTTCAAGCCTTTTCTTGTATCATAATTTTTTTTAAGCTTTGAACGAAGTATTTTGACAACCACCAAGTCAAATTTGACGAGCTTATCTTATTTAAATTCTATAAACCAGTATAATTCAAATAAAGAAAAGTTTATTAAATTTGGCTTGGTGGCTGTTGAGATATTTTCTTTCGAAGATTTAATAAATTTTCAAATAAAAATTTTCTCAAACTTAATACGAAGATATCTTGACAACCACCAAGTCAAATTCAATGAAGTTTTTTTTTTCGAATTCTATGAACTGTAGGATTCAAATAAAAAACGTTATCAAATTTGGCTTGATAGTTGTCTCGACAACTTCACTCAAAGTTTTAAAAAATCCTGGTCCTTTTTGTATCTAACCCTATCATATAAGACTTATAAACTTTAGCTCTAAGAATGTAAGCAAATCTGGAGCTTTCCAAAGAAATATTTTTTCTTTACTAAGTAAACCTCTTTTCAACTTTTAAGTAAAGTTGTAGAGAGGTGTCTTGTGAACAGAATGGAGGGTAAAACGTTAAAATCGGCCTGGTAGATCATTTTAGTATTTGCAACTACATGTTTTCTTCTATATAAATAAAGAAAACATGTAATTGCAAAAACTAAAATGCTTATATCTTGCGATCCACTGGGCTGATTTTAATATTTTAACTGCCATTCTGTTCGAAAAACACCCCTCTACAACTTTACTTAGATATAAAAAAAGTTTATTTAGTAAATAAAAAACTTTTCTTTAAAAAACTCCAAATTTTAAAGACAATAGTAAATATCTTTAGCAAGTTCTATAAATAGATTTTTAGCCAATCAAATTTGTTTTAGCCAACTTATATAAAGCTATATATAGAACTCTTTAACTATATGATATTATTGCTTGAATATGATTGGCTGGTCCTAAAAATCCTGGTCCTTTTTGTATCTAAGTCTATATATAAACTCTAACTCTAACCCTAAAGCAAATATTAAAAATTTGCTATATGTCTAATAACCAATCAAATTTCACTTAGCTGACTTAAATAAGTCTTGTATATAGAATTTTTTAACCAATAAAATTCATTTATTTTTGCTTGAATATAATTGGCCAGCTCTAAAATTCAGCCTTTTTTATATTTATTGATTTTTTCTATATATATAACTTTAATACTAAAATACAAATAAATATTAACCAATCAAACTACATTAATTTTTAGTCTAAGCCTATATAACCAGGTTGGCTACAGGTTCAGATATATTGTTTCTATATAGTCATAGTAATTTCTAAATAAGAATAAATTAATATTTAATTTAGCTATATTAATTCTATATAGTAAAAATAATTCTTAAAAAGAAAATATATTATGTTTCCTTTCTAAATAATCTAATTAACCCTAAATATAAATAGTTAATATAAAATATATATTAGTAATATATAATTAATATAGCCCAGATAGTTAATCCTATTTGGAAACTTAGTTTAATTGAATGTTTATGTAACTTCTAATATATTAAAAAAATAGTGCTTAATTAATTTATAGATCAGAATTACTTAATTTGGGGCTCTTATCTCTAGATCAGATTTGTACTAAATTAGGTTTAATTTTAGAAACTAATTTCTAAAATGAATACAAGTTGAAAATTTAATTAAACACAAACAATAATATAATTAATAATTAATTAAAGAGTTTAACTAATGTTCACCACAGGTGATTATCACTTATGATCTACAATATAAACAAAAACAATTAAATTTAACAAACTAAAAATTAATTTCTTTAAGATTAGAGTTAGGGTTACTAACGAGCTAGCAATCTAAGATCGATTTCGTCCTATTTGGGACTCTTCAGTTAGATGTAGTTAATGTTTAAGAGATTTAAAGATAAAAACGTTTAGCACGAAGCCATCCTATTTATACCTTTAAAATCAGATAAACTCACAAATAACAACACGTTTTTCATAGAAAAACTTCGGATATACTTAAAGAAGAAACCCGAAATTAGTAATACATTAATTATTAATTAAATTAATTAATTATTTATAATTAGTTATACTAATTTAGTAATAAATTTAATTAAATAATTACGATTAGTAATTAATAATTAGTAATCGTATACCAATTAATTAATTTTTAATTAAATTTACTTAATTCGTATATAGTACGAATTAAATTTATATATGTAATATATTTAATTTATTACGGATAAACATTTAATTAAATTTATTTAATTAAATCCATTATTAATTTCCATTTAGGGTTATTTATTTATATTACAGAACATTTTTTTTATAGTAATTCTGATCCAATTAATTAAATTTTTAATTAAATTATAAATAACGTACATAAAAACTATTGTACTAAAAATAAATTTCCTAATTAGGTTATATTTTTAATTTTAATTTAAAATCTATTTTTATTTTCTAAAAATAGAAATATAACTTATTCCGTTACAGATTAGGGTTAAATTAAAAAGTTAAATTAAAGGTTAACTTTTATAGAAATTAATTTATCTTTTTAAGAAAATAATGCATTGTTTTCCAAAAAAGAAAATATTAATTTTTTTTTTTATCGAACAATGAACATTTTAAAGTCCAAATTAGGAAATTTAGAGTTTTCTTTTTTGGTTTAATAAGGTTTTTAGGGTTACTAACGAGCTAGTAATCTAAGATCGATTTCGTCTATTTGGGACTCTTTAGTTAGATATAGCTAATGTTTAAGAGATTTAAAGATAAAAACGTTCAGCACAAAGCCATCCTATTTATACCTTTAAAATCAGATAAACTCACAAATAACAACACATTTTTTATAGAAAAACTTTGGATATATTTAAAGAAGAAACCCGAAATTAGTAATACATTAATTATTAATTAAATTAATTAATTATTTATAATTAGTTATACTAATTTAGTAATAAATTTAATTAAATAATTACGATTAGTAATTAATAATTAGTAATCGTACACCAATTAATTAATTTTTAATTAAATTTACTTAATTCGTACATAGTACAAATTAAATTTATGCATGTAATATATTTAATTTATTATGGATAAACGTTTGATTAAATTTATACATGTAATACATTAAATTTATTACGAATAAACGTTTAATTAAATTTATTTAATTAAATCCGTTATTAATTTCTATTTAGAGTTATTTATTTATATCATTATTTTCAATTTAGGGTTATTTATTTATATTACGGAACATAATTCTGATCCGATTAATTAAATTTTTTAATTAAATTATAAATAACGTATATAAAGGTTATTGTACTAAAAATAAATTTCCTAATTAGGTTATATTTTTAAATTAAACCAGATTTTAATTTAAAATCTATTTTTATTTATCTAAAAATAGAAGTATAACTTATTCTGTTACGGATTAGGGTTAAATTAAAAAGTTAAATTAAAGATTAACTTTTATAGAAATTAAGTTATCCTTTTAAGGAAATAATGTATTGTTTTTCAAAAAAGGAAATATTAATTTCCTTTTTTTTGAACAATGAACTTTGTAGAGTCCAAATTAGAAAATTTAGGGTTTTCTTTTTTGGTTTAATAAGGTTTTTAGGGTTATATCTTAATAGGGCAAGAATTTAAGTGTAACATTCTGCAATCTGATTGGCCGAAAAGTACTATATATAAGTTTTACTTAAGATCGAAAAGTGGAATTTTAATTAGTTTATTTGTTCTATTTGTTCTAGGGTTAGAGTTAGCATTTTGTATTTGGTCAGGATTTTAGGACCAGCTAATCATATTTGAACAAAATAAATGAATCTGATTGGCTAAAATAATTATATATATAATACTTAATTAAGCTACCAAGATGCGATTTGATTGGCTATTAGATGCAACTTAGATTTAACTTTGTTTTGGTTCTAGGGTTAGATCTATATATAAAGTTGCTCTATAATAGGTGAT